AGATCATGACCTGAGCCGAGATCAAGAGTCGGACACTTAACCAGCTGAGCCACCCAGGGGCCCCTAAAAAGATTTTATTTTTAAGCAATATATACACCCAACATGGGGCCTGAACCCACAACCCCAAGATCAATAGTTGCACGCTCCACCGACTGAGCCAACGAGGCACCGCATGACTTTTCTTTTATCATATCATTTCTTACCCCTCACCGGTAGGGTAGCCTAGAAGTTCATGTCCTTCCTTGGGGCCTCAGGGTTCTCTTCTGTCAAGTTATGAGCTCTCTTTCTGTTCACTCATTGACTCAGCATTTTTGTGTCTGGGCACTGAGGACCCAGCAAGGGGGCAAGATTCGGTTCCTGCCCCTGTGCTTCTGGTGGTCTGGCCGGGGAGACAGATGTTAAACAGGAGCAGCTGCCTGGGGTGCTGGGTGGAAGCCTGGAGCGTGTGTGTGCACAGAGGGTGGGCTAGCAGAGGTTGTGTGTGCCCTTGAGGTCACAGTTCAGCCAAGACCCGAAGGGCGAAGGGCGAATGGTCCTTGGGTGGGGGGAGGAGTGGAGGGAGGGAGGAGTGTTCTAGCCTTGAGCCTGGAGGCAGGAAAACAGTCTAGAGGAGGAACTGCTTGAGGCCCTGCAAGTGGGGGAGGGTGACCCCAAGTGCTGGCAGGGGCACTGGGCCAGGTCAGGAGGGCCCTTCAGGGCTCTGGAGCTTGATCAAAATAGGGACAGTGGGGCACTGAGGGTCTTTCTGCCTGTGGCGCAGGAATGGCCTGTGCTGGTTGTTCCCGACTTCCTCCTGATGACCTGGCCTGGGGCAGTGGGGGGAGGGAGCCACCGCCCCCACCCTCCCTGCTCCTGCCCACCTCGGACAGTGTGGGCACTCACGCCTGGAGGCCAGGCTGCTGTGGTGACTCGGCTCGCCCCACCCATCCTTTCAGAGCCACCTCTGGTCTGGAATCTGTGAGGTGGGAGGACCCAGGTCTTCAGTCAGGCCAACGGCTGTCACCTGGGCCAGGCCCGGCCGCCCACAAAAGGCCTCCTGTTCCCGGATCCCTGGGGGCTGCTGGGCCAGGGCTGGGCGGGGGCCATCTGGGCTCTGGCCGCCTGGCCTGGGTACCGGCCCCGTTCCTCCCTTCTTCCTCCCTCCCCTCAGCCCCGGCCCGGCTCTGCCCTCTCCAGGTTTCTAGCGCTAATGGCTGACCCGGCAGGACTATTCCAGGCCAGGTCCGGGGTGGGCTCCCCACGTGTACAATGTGAGGATGACAGGTTCGAGCTTTGTGGGATCGCTGGGAGGCCTAAATGCACTGGTTTGGGCAGAGCTCTTGACCCCGGGCCGGGCACCGTGCAGAGAGCTCCCCAGGGAGGCTGAGGGAAGCCCCGTGGGTGCGGGTGCTGTGGGTGGGAGGGGGTGGGAAAGAAGGGGCATCCTGTGGCTGGATTTAGAGAAGCCTTCCCTCCGCCCTGAGGACTGTGGGAAAGTTCTCTGCTTCCTCCAGCGTGGAGGCAGGGCCTGGAATTGCTCACTCGGGGGCTGCCAGGAAGTGGGGGGGGGAGGGGGGGTGGGGAAGGAGGCCAAGCTGGGGGGACGCCAGCCCGTCCCAAGGCCCCCCTCACATCCTGCATTCCTGGAGCAGCTGGGGGTGGCAAGAGGCAGCTGGGGCACGGAGCTGAGCCCTCAGGGTGGGCCTGGGCTGCAGAGGTCAAGGCCTCTTCCTGTCTGACTGCCACCCCCCTTCGCCTGCTGCCTGGGGCTGAGGAATGCAGCTTCCTTTCTCAGTCTGACCCTGAGGACCCCACAGGCAGGAAGTCACCAGGTCTGGCTGAAGTCGGCTCGTCCTGTGTTAGAGCCCTAGGGCTGCCATTCCCTCCCTAGCTGTGTGTCCTCGAACCAGTAACTTGGTGTCTCTGAGCCTGTTTCCTCATCAGGAAAAGTGGGGCTGTTTGAGGATTGGATGAGGGAATGCGTGCGAGGTCTCGGCCCGGGGCTAGCGTCTCAGTCCACTTGGGCTGCCCTAACAAAGTGCCACAGACTGGGTGGCTTAAACCACGGTTCTGGAGGCTGGAGGTCCCGAGGTCAAGGTAGCTTAGTCTTCTGCGGCCTCTGCCTTTGACTTGCAGTGACTGTCTTCTCCTGTATCTTTGCACAGTCCTCCCTCTGCCTGTGCACGCTTTGCATCCAATTCCCTCTTCTAAGGACACCAGTCATGTTGGATCGGCACCCACCCTAATGGCCTCATTTTATCTTAATGACCTCTTTAAGGGCTGTATCTCCAGATACAGTCACCTTCTGAAGTACTAAGGGGTTAGTTAGGTCTTTAACATAGCAGTCTGAGGGGGGACAGAGTGCAGCCCCCCCCCACCTTGTGACAGCCAGGCTGGGGGTGGGAGTGGGGGGAAGGGCTCAAGAGGGGGCCCCCTCTCTTGTAGAAAACTCAGCAGCTCAGCGAGCAGAGATGTCCTAAGGGTCTGAGGCTGCATGTGTGGCCGTGAGAGCCAGGCCTGGGGACCTCGCAGCCTCCTTCCTGCCTCCCCAGCCTTCCATCTCCCCGTCCCGCCACCTGGAAAGCGGCCTGGCCTCGCCAACGCCCCTGGCTTGTCGTCTGTAAATGGAAATGCCCTCATGTGAGAGAGGTTGCATGTGACGCATGGCCCACATTTTCTAGGCAAACCCTGGTCTCTGGGAAACCGTGTCCTCCTGAGAGCCTGAGGGGAGGAGGGGGTGTCCTCCCCTGGACTCCTGGGCAGCACCCACCTCGGGCTCTGCACGCACCCCAGCTCAACACCCCTGCTCTGTTCTGGTCGCACCTGCCTGATCTCCAGTCCCTGAAACGTACTGGGGAGACCCTCCTCCCGCCCCCGTCCCGGACCAGGATGCTGCCCGCAGAGGTGGGGCTGTGCCCAGTTCCCACCGCTGAGACCCCCCTGGACTCTGACAGTGACTCCTGTAGTCAGCCAGATGAGATAGGGGGTCCTCCCCTCGAGAGGGGCTTTTTCTCTGCGGGAGTGACTCAGCCTGCAGTCATCGCCATGGGAGCTGGGGTTTCGGAGGCGCGGACTGCTGTTTCCCCTTCCTCGGCTCCAGCTCCGCGGACACAGCGGTTGGGGGCGTGCTGCCAGGGTGGCCGCCCGCTGCCTGGCTCCCGGTGCAAAATCCCAAGTCGGATTTTGCAACTTCCTGCAGCTTGCCTCCCCAGCACCGGGTCTAGGGGGGCCGTGCCTTGTTCGCTGACCCACCTCATCAGCACCAGGAAGGTGGACGCGATCATGTGGGGCCACCAATAGCACAGTAACAGTAACGCCACCAATAGCACAAATCCAGGACTGGTGTTTTCTAGTCAGACCCGGACGCGGTGGGGAGCGAGGCCGACCCAGGGCAGCAAGGGCAGCGGCTCACTGCGGCTGCCGGAGCCTCACGGTGGATGTGTGAGGCCAGGCCGGGTCCTTGTTCCCACTGTTCAGAAGAGGAAACTGAGGCCCTTAGGGTTCAATGATCTGGAACAAGAACTACGGCACAGGGACCAGAAATCCGCCCGTTGCCTGTTTTTGTAAATCCAGTTTTCCGGGCTCGTTGGTTTCCAGATCGTCTGTGGCTCCTTCCCTGCTGCCGTGGCAGCGCTGGGGAGTTAACGACAGAGCTCATCTGGCCCGCGAAGCTGAAAATATTTACTGGCTGGCCTCTTGCAGGGAAAGTTTGCGGGCCCTGATGTAGACAGGGGAGGGAGCAGGACTGGAATGAGGACTCCTGGGTCCCTCTGACTCCCTCTCTGCTGTGCCCGCCACCTCTCCTGGCACAGGGTGGTGACCTCTGGGCCTGGCTCTGCTGCTCAGTGGCCTGACCTCGGAGCCTGCCTGTTGATCTGTCAAGTGGGGTTAAGGACAGTCTCGGGCGTGGTTGGGAAGGTTTAAGAAGATGAGCGTTCAACGGAGATTGCCTTGGTGCTGCTGGTGGAGGGTTATCATTGCTGTCGCTGTCATCGCAAATGCTACCATCACGGTTACTATGAGGGCAGTGGAGTTGCAGGTGGGGGTGTGCACGTGTGTGCACTTAGGGCGGGGGCGTTCTGGCAGTCAGTCCCTTGGTCTTGGTGAAGGCCATTGGGCCATCCCACGGACTCCTCCCTCCTCCCCTCTCCTGAGCAGGCATCCCTGAGAACTCCAAGGTAGAGGGCCCTGCGTTCACGGACGCCATCCGCATGTACCGCCAGTCCAAGGAGCTGTACGGGACCTGGGAGATGCTGTGTGGGAACGAGGTGCAGGTGAGGAGACTGCGGAAGTCACCCTAAGGTCCAGAGGGTAGAGCCAAGCACAGAGACTCTGGCCTCGGGGGGGCCACTCCTGGCTTGCAAGGAGACAATAAGACCATTTTGGACGGGTGGAGATACTTATTTGATCTGATCGCTTATAGATCACCTATCCTGAACCAGGTGCGGGGTGCTGCTGCTCCTTAGTCCGGCTCTCTATCTAGCAGGAGAAGCAGACATTTGACAAAGAAACATACATACTTCTGTGTGCAAGTGAGGGGGAAGGGGTGTGGTATTCCAGACAGGGAGGCAGCGTGTGCAAAGGCCCCGAGGTGGGACCCCGATGCCGAGGGTCCTGTAGGTCCCTCAAGCAGGTAAGTTGGGACCTGGTGGAATGATGCTCAGGAGAGAGGCCAGTGGAGACGTGAAGCCAAGGTCAAGCCCAGAGGTGGGGCTGGAGTGGCCAGCCTGTGGAACGTGGAAGGGAACCCGCCATCTGGACATGCTCTAACCCCTGCCCCGGCTCGTGGCTCTCTGTCCTAGATCCTGAGCAACCTGGTGATGGAGGAGCTGGGCCCTGAGCTGAAGGCGGAGCTCGCCCCGCGGCTGAAGGGAAAACCGCAGGAGCGACAGCGGCAGTGGATCCAGGTAGGCGGGTGTGGGTGTGGAGGCGGGGGTCCCGGACCCGCCTGGCACCCTCACGCTGACTCACGGCACTGCCCCCAGATCTCAGACGCTGTGTACCGCATGGTGTACGAGCAGGCCAAGGCGCGCTTTGAGGCGGTGCTGTCCAAGCTGCAGCTGGCCCGGCCAGCCATGGAGGCGGCCATCCGCACGGACATGGACCAGATCATCACCTCCAAGGAGCACCTGGCCAGCAAGATCCGAGGTAGGCAGCCAGCTGCCGTGCCTCGGGGGCCGGGGTGGGCCGCCTGTCTGTGCCACCGACCCGCGTACTTTTCAGGCTAAGTGACTTGATTCAATGGTCATTTAAAAAAAAAATTTTTTTTTAATGTTTATTTTTGAGAGAGAGAATGTACATGCTCATGCGAGTGGGGGAGGGCAGAGAGAGAGAGGAGGACTCAGGATCCAAAGCAGGCTCTGCGCTGACAGCAGAGAGCCTGACGCACGGCTCGAACTCACAAACGGTGAGATCGTGGCCTGAGCTGAAGTGAGACGCTTAACCGACTGAGCCACCCAGGCATCCCATCGATGGTCATTTTTAAAAATGAAATCAAATCTGGGCCGTTGTTCTTCTGACCCCTGGGAGTTGTCCTGTGGCTATTTCTGCAAACCCAGACCTGGAAGATGTAAATTTTGTCAAGGAAGTTCAAGGCTTTTGCTCATCTATGGTCAGTCACAGACTTGACCCTGGGGTTAGTATAGGCATCAGTTTAACTGTAATGATTCACTTTGATCACATCTCACTTTTCGGGGTCTGTTCCAGGCCCCCTGTCCCCCCCCCCCCCACATTGGCTGTGTGCGGTTTCAGGGCTGGTCCGTTGCCTGAGGACTACTCTCTCCTACCTGTGTTCGTTGTGATCCAGATGGAACACTGAGAGCTGACATTTATCTTGGGCAACAAACCATCAGCCAGCCAGAGAGAGGGACATCAAAACACGCCCTGGGTGCAAATGGAGCTGGTCATGCCCCCGAGCAAGCAGCCTTTTACATGGCGGTGCAGACCCAGGCACACCGGCCCGTGTGTGAAAAACCCAGAGGCTCGCTGAATCTACCAAAGTGTTTTTTGTTTTGTTACAGCAGTAAGATGGCTAGAGAGGGGTTTCTTTCCACCTCGAGCAAAGCAGAACGCTGACCCCTCTGGACTAGCAGTTTTAGTTTCTTGCCATCAGAGTTTTAGAAAGATCAGGGTCCGATCTCAGAATCCCCTGTTGTTTAAAATTTTTTATTTTTGAGAGCGTGTGAGTCAGGGCAGAGAGAGGGAGGACAGAGGCCCCTCAGCAGGCTCCAGGCTCTGAGCTGACAGCAGAGCCCGATGCGGGGCCCCGGCTCACAAAGAGCCAAAGTCGGACGCTCAACCGACTGAGCCACCCAGACGCCCTTCCCCTGGTTTTGGTGCATGTACCTACAAATCATTCAGTTTGCTGATGTCACTAGTGGTTTTCTTTAAAAGCTTGGGCTCCAGGTGGCTGGGGGTTGCCCCCCGGCGGTGCCCTCAGCTCACCTGCTCCCTCTGGGCGCAGCCTTCATCCTCCCCAAGGCAGAGGTGTGCGTCCGGAACCACGTCCAGCCCTACATCCCGTCCATCCTGGAGGCCCTGATGGTGCCCACCAGCCAGGGCTTCACCGAGGTGCGGGATGTCTTCTTCAAAGAGGTGACGGACATGAACCTGAACGTCATCAATGAGGGCGGTGCTGACAAGCTGGGTGAGGTGAGGCCAGGCCCCTGTCCGGGGGAGGGGCGGGGGGGGCGCGGAGTGCCTGCCGGGCCCTCCTGCGATCCAGGGCGTAACTTGTCACCAGAGGGGCTGCTGGACACCCGGAGGGCTGAGGGTGTGAGAAACGGGGGGCAGCACTCAGAGAAAAAGGGGATCACTGACCCCCTCCACCAGGCTTTATAAACCAAGTGGGTTCCTGAAGTATCAAAGGACTTAACGGGGAGGGAAGGGGAGGGAGAGAGGGAAGAAGTGAGCTTCTGCCAGGAGGTAGAACAACTTACATGCCTTTTCACGTACCCCAACATGGGGGCCGGCCCATCTCTCTCACTTCTCAGTCACCTGGTTCTCAGGGTGCACATCCTTCTATATCTGATCCCATAATCTTTGCTCTCCTCTTTCACACCCTGGACTGAGGGGTCCACAGACAGCAAGAATCCTAGAAATTGAGAACCAGAAAGGACCTTAGAGATCATGAGACACTATCTCCTAATTTTGAGGCTGAGGCTCGGAGCGGGTGAGCGACTTGCCCGAGGCCACCTGGTGCCGCAGAAGCGATGAGAGCCTCCCTGCTGGTACCAGGCTGCGGGGCCTTGCTCCAGCCTTCGTTCCCTGGGCTCCCCCAGCCACCACCCCCTGCAGGTGGCCAGTGCCTGGAGCCCCAGCGCCGAGGCAGGGTGTGGGTCTGCAGGCACTGCCCCCGCCCCGGCGGCCCCCCGCTCAGGTCCTACACATCCCTGCTTCCCTGCAGTACATGGAGAAGCTGTCCCAGCTGGCGTCCCACCCCCTCAAGATGCAGAGCTGCTACGAGAAGATGGAGCCACTGCGGCTTGACGGGCTGCAGCAGCGTTTCGATGTGTCCAGCACGGCCGTGTTCAAGCAGCGAGCCCAGATCCACATGCGAGAGGTGGGCCCGGAGCAGCCCCCCTCCCCGCTGCTCCATGCCCGTCACCCACCTTCCACCGGCCCAGCGTAGGCCCCTATCCGGGCCTTAGGCCCTGGCCCCCGTGCAGCCCCTGGAATGCTCACTCCTGCTCCGGCCTCTTGGGCGCTCCCGTCTGCTGGGACGCTCATTCCTCTGGCTGATCTGGCCTCCTCTTTCAGGTTTCTGCCTGGAGACCCCCTTCCTCCGGGAGGCCCTCCTTACTCCCCAGGTCCCTTCCTGCAGGGCCCAGGATCTCTGCTTCCTCGAGGCAGGGATTGGCCCGGTGCTTGGCATTATGCCAGTGCACAGCAGACATTCAGGAAAGATGTGGGTGCATGAGGGAATGAGCACGCAGGCCACCCCTACGCCTCCCTGGCAGGCCTGGTGGGGGCTGGCTGAGGAGCCCCCCCGCCCCCGCCCCCGCCCAGGCATGCAGGAAGGGGGCTGTGCTCCCTCCGGGGCCTTGACGCACCCCATGGTGTGCCCCGCAGCAAATGGACAATGCCGTGTACACCTTCGAGACCCTCCTGCACCAGGAGCTGGGGAAGGGGCCCACCAAGGAGGAGCTGTGCAAGTCCATCCAGCGGATCCTGGAGCGCGTGCTCAAGGTGAGGCCGGGCCCCTGGGCCGGTACCAGGATGGCTGCCCCCGGGGGAGGCACCATGGACCCCTGCCCCCACAGAGGAGGAGGAGGGCAAGGCTCAGGTCAGACCTAGCGACCCCGCCCCTGGCCCCTCTGCCCTGGCAGAAATACGACTACGATAGTAGCTCGGTGCGGAAGCGATTCTTCCGGGAGGCGCTGTTGCAGATCACCATCCCCTTCCTGCTCAAGAAGCTGGCGCCCACGTGCAAGTCGGTGAGCCCCCCGCCCCGGCCAAGCCTGCTGCGGCCCCCCCCCGAGCACAGCCCCCTCCGCGGTCCCCGAGCCCAGGGCGGGCCTGACCACCCCCTGCTCTGTCCCTGCCCACCCTGCCGCCGCAGGAGCTGCCCCGGTTCCAGGAGCTGATCTTCGAGGACTTTGCCAGGTTCATCCTAGTGGAGAACACGTACGAGGAGGTGGTGTTGCAGACGGTGATGAAGGACATCCTGCAGGGTATGGGAGGGCCGGCGTCGTGCCGGGTGGGGACCGTCACTGCCCGCGGGCCGGTAGACAGGGCTGCTGAGAGGTCTTCCTGCAAAGGTGGCGAGACAGGCCTGGGGGTTGGGTCAGGCACGCGGTGGGAATGTAGGAGGGTAGACTTGCTTCTCTGGGCCTTAGTGTCCTCTCCGGTCTTTGGTACGAGGGACAGGCTGACACGGTGGTTACCAGCCCGGTAACCACTACTCCTCGCCAGCAGTGAGGCCTGGCCGGGTGGGGGGGGCAGTTCCCAATCATGACCCCAGGTCTGGCTGTCGGGAGGCCTGGAGGGGATGACGTGGGTCATATTTAGGCGCAGTGTAGGGGGTGGTGGCGGCGGCCGTGGAACCCGTGGTAAATGTCCCGACCCCCCCCTTGGGCTCCACAGCTGTGAAGGAGGCCGCTGTGCAGAGGAAACACAACCTGTACCGGGACAGCATGGTCATGCACAATAGTGACCCCAACTTGCACCTGCTGGCGGAGGGTGCACCCATCGACTGGGGTGAGGAGTATGGTGGCAGTGGTGGGGACAGTGGCAGCCCCAGCGTCCCGGAAGCAGCCCCGCTTTCGGAAAAGCGACGGCGTGCCAAGCAGGTGGTGTCCGTGGTCCAGGACGAGGAGGCAGGGCTGCCTTTTGAGGCTGGCTCGGAGCCACTATCACCTGCGTCCCCGGACAGTGTCACCGAGCTGCGCGGTCTGCTGGCCCGGGATCTGCGGGCTGAGAGCCCCCCGCCGGCTGGCCCTCTGCTCAACGGGGCCCCCTCCCAAGAGAGCCCCCAGCCCGTGGCAGCCCCTGAGGCCTCCTCGCCGCCAGCCTCGCCCCTTCGGCAACCCCCTCCTGGAAAAGCTGCGGACCTTGAGCCCCCCAAACCTAGTGACCAGGAGACTGGGGAGCAGGTATCCAGCCCTGGTGGCCGCCCCCCCATCCACACCACCACCGAGGACAGCGCAGGGGTACAGACTGAGTTCTAGGCCGGTCGCCCCTGAGCTTCTGCTGGACATGGGTCACCCCCTCCAAGGCACAGGCAGGCTTGGCTCTAGGCGGGGAGCCCCGGGTCTGTGCCTTGGGGTGGAGGTCGGTGGGGCCATTGTGGCACCTCTGGGGCTGGGCAGGGGTGGCCCACCTGAGTCACTTTATTGGGTTTGGTCACACTTTGCTCCTGTTTTCTCTCCTGTGGCATGATCTTGGGCTTCCTGCTTGTGCTGGAAGCTGGGCACAGCCGAGGGGCTGAGGTGTACCCAGTGATCACCAATTCCCTGGGTCCTCCTCTCCTGCCTTTTATGGCCTCGGTTTCCCTCCCGGGTCTCGCCAACCTTCTCAGAAAGATGGAGGTAGAGTGGTTGCTTGTTGTGCTACTTGGCCACTGGCTTCTCTCCCTTCTCACCAAGGGCTTTATCAGAACCAGGACCAGGGAGCACTGGGGGCCCCAGTGTCCTCCTCAATCCAGGCTGGGCCCCGAGAGGCCGGTTTGGGAGGGGACACGGGCCTTGTTTTCCCTGCTCTGGGTGAGGGGAGGTGCAAGGAGGGGTCTTCCGGCTGTAGCCAGGCTGGGGCTGCTGGGTTGAGGGGGATGCCTCATGGAGGAGGAGGGGTGAGGTGGCTCGGATTGGAATGAGAAAGGCCCAGAATGTGCTGGTCTGTGGAGAGGAAGTGTCTCAAGGGAGGGAAGAGGGGGTCTGTGGGGAAGCATTGCTGGGAGTGTCTTCAAGGCAGGCTGAGGCGGCAGATGGAAGGCTGCTGGAAGTGGAGCAGGCTTCTGCACCCCCCCACCCCCACCCCCGGCGCTTAGCCTATCTCCTGCCTATTGGCAGCCAGCCTCCCGGAGTCCCTCTGTCCCCCTTGCCTGTCTCGGCCACATGCTGCGGGGTGGGATGGAGGGGAGTGTGGCCGTGTGCTCGGAGACGGGGTCTGCGGGGTGGGGGTGGAGATTCCTCTGTGGGCCACTCCCAAGGTACACATTGTCCACCAGGGGAGCTGAGTACAGCTCCCCAAGGCGCTGCCGGTGGCCCCTCTGAGGAGTTGGGGTCAGGCTTGGCCGTTGTTGCCTCCAAGTCACCTCACCCTGAAAATTCCCTTCTCAGATGCGCTCCTTCCACAGCGGCTTGTTCCTGGGGGTGAAGGTCTAGCCGAGGTAGCTCCACCCTGGCAGCCCTGTCCCCAGGGACCAGGACTTCCTGCCTGCCCCAGCGCCCTCCTCTGCCCCGCATCCTCCGTCCCCTTCCTAGGGCAGGGGCTTCAGACCCATGGGACATACGTGGTGGCTGGTGCTCAGGGCCCCCTTGGTCCCCCCAGCCGGACTCTCCAGTGCCTCACTAACCTGCCATCTCGTTCATGTGTTCAGATGCTCTCCTCTAGTGCCTTGGGGTTTTCTCAATCGTCATTCCCAGATATTGTACTGAAAATATTATGCAAACTGGTTAAGCTTTACTAATCAATAAATGATTTAAAGCCAGTGGCCTGTGTGTGTGGTGCCGGCAGGAGGAGACCGGGGCTGGGCCTGTCCCACAGCAGCAGTGCGCCCTGGCTTTCTGGGCTCAGTCCGAGTGCCTGTGTTACCCCATCTTAGAGGAAACCGACCCTGAGAGAAGGCATGCAGGGCACGTAGGTGGCTGGCCTGTCGGCAGCTCGGCTCTCTGAGCCAGATCGGTGCAGGGTGTTCCTCGGGTAGCCCCTGGCGATGGTGAGGCCAAGGGGGATGGCAGCATCTTGCAGGCCATGTGGCCCTGGGGCGTGCACAGTGGGGGTTGGCCCTTGGGCTCAAGCTGGATCCACAGATCCAAACAGCAGCGTTGGCCCCCAAGACTCTTCACACAGCCTTTACCGAGCACTTACTGTGGTGTGTGTGCTTTCTGTGCAGGACCAGGAGCCCCAGAGCCACTCTAGGAGGGGGGTGTCCTCATTACCATTTCACCACCATGTAAACTGAGGCCCAGGAAGGTGTGGACCCTTGGAGGTTATGGGGCATGGGACACACCCCCTGGCTTCCCTGGTGCCAGCCTGTCCATGGCGGTCTGTGGCTGAGGGCTGGTCAACGGGGCTGGGGTGAGAAACAGCAGGGACTATGGGGGCAGCGACCAGAGATTCAAGTGCAGTGTTGCTGTTGTCCTTGGCAAGGCACCACACTCAGCCTCAGGCTCCTCATCTATAAAAGCAGGAGGGGGCAGTCCTAAAATTCCTTTCTCCCAGGGCCTAGTGAGGGGTCCAGGTGGTTCGGAAAACACTGTGCCCGAAGTAGCCCTGCCCACCCAGGTCTCAGTCTCCCCTCTTGGCCAAGGTGAGCCCAAGTCTGGGGCAGAGGGAGCCACCAAAGCTCCCCAGGTCCTGGGTGGGAGGGGATAGGGTATGGGAGGAGACCCCAGCTCTTGCCTGGAAAACAGAACTCACAGGGGGCCTCGTCCTATCCTGTTTCAGTCCACAGGACCTAATGAGGCAGGGAAACAGAGGCCTAGGGGAGACAGGGCTCTGCCACCTCAGGGCTTCCAGGATTGCACCTGGGTGCCCCCTGGTGGCCACTGGCCTGCATCTGGGCCCCATCGTGTCCCACGCTTAACGCGTGGGGAAAGGAGTCTTGGAAGGCCGGCCAGGGTTAGGGGTAGCTGGAGGCAGAGCCCAGGTACCCTAATCAGACCCACCTCTAGCTCAAAGAAAGCTGTCCTCGGTTCAAAACCATTTACCAGAAAATGCACAATAAATGTGCAGCTCTACATCAAGTACAGGTACATGGCTCCTTCTAAAATTGTACAATGAACAACTTGCACAACTGCACGGGTTTGGGAATCAAACCTCTGGCAGGCTCCAGACCCAGCACTGCCCTGTCCCAGCTGCCAGGCACTGGGCATTCAGCAGCTTCTGCCTCCACTCTCTGTCTCTGCTCCTCCCCAACCCCCCACCGCTGCCCCGCCAACCTGCTCCGGCTGACCCTCCCTGTGCCCTTCTGAGCCCAGTCTGTCTGTCCACCTGTAATGAGGGGAATTTTGTTTAACCTTGCATTTGAGAATGCCTGTACCTCCTGCCTCCTTTTGCCTGAGGTAAAGCCCGCC